GAACAATTTCGAATTGTACTGGCTTTAGTACTTCATTTTTATGTCGATTATCTTTCTCATTTTCTTTTCCTTGTATTTTGCCTTATTTCAGGCATTTATTCAAATGGCTTACATTCTTTCAGATTCATTCAGAGTCAGTACAATTTAAAATTGTTCAAAATAACCTTCCACTTTCGAAGCTTGAAGAGTTGAAAAAGTGGGAATTCGCAGCCGAATTCCATGGAAATCAGCTGATTCGCCGTCACCGAGCCGCAGCCGCTGTCGCGTCACATTGCAGCGCGGCTGTGCCGCCCCGACAGTCCGTAATGATGAGGACTGTAATGACCAGCTGTCTATTGTTTGCTGGATACTTGCAGGTCGTGTATCGTTTATGGAACTATGTTCGTTCACGCTCTTCCTGAACTAGTGCCAGTGGGCATTGTCAAGGAGCTCTATGTGTACCCAGTGAAATCCTGCAAAGGAATCAGCGTCAGTCCACTCTGTGACCTTTTGAAGGGTGAACTTAGTCGAACAGATAGTTTCTGACCACAGATAGTGCAGGTTTTCTCGTTCTTCTGCAATAAATTGGGAGTGGTTTCTGGAGAAAACGTTGATCGCCAGTTTGTCGTCGTTGATGGAAAGAGTGGCAAGTACTGACCGTTCCACTGACTTCTTAGGTTGACAAGTTGGCGAAAGACAGTGAAACGCTGCTGTTTCAGATTTTACAGCGGTCGCAAAAAACCGCAGATGGTCTTGATCGAATGTGAAGTTCATGATGGCATTCTCAATGTGAAAACAAGAGATGGCAATACTTTGCAAGTGGATATCCAGAAAGTTCGTCAAAAGAGAGTAGTTAGAAGGGCAGCGTGAGTTTTGATCCTGCTATACGTTTTTCATTCGAATGCTTCCTTTCCGCGAACAGTCTCTAAGGAAACAGTGAGTAACCGCTTTTTCCCCATTGCTGTTCTCCAACCCCCTTAGGGTCCCTTTACATCTAATGCTAGATTTGAAAAGGGAGCGAAGTGAAGCGACATTGCTGGTGACGTGCACGATAGATCAACCGTGAATACTGTAGAGTGAGATGAGAAAAATTTGTTCACTGTTGGAGTGGCAGTGTTCACGGAAATCGTCGCGGGTGGGGCCGCGGCTGTGGTCTGCGACCAACTGCCGCTTCATGCGGTGGGGGTGAAAGGTATGCCAACGTTTTTTGCTTATTCCAAACAGCTGATTTTTCTTAGCCGTTCATACCATCACTACTACAGTTTGTAGACTGTACTATTCGAGAAGATGAGAAGACGCGACAGCTCTCCTCTACTCTTAGCAACTCCAGAAGTTCCGGGATAATGGGAAATGGGATTGCTTCTGTAGTCGTTGTCTGAGCCCCTACATTATACGAAAACCGTTCTCGAGAAACCTCTCGCCCCTATCAGCCACGGGTCTTTGCCTCTTCAAAGTCGAAATCTAGATAGTATTAACTTTGACTCAAGCGCAATGGCAACAATAAGGAGCGACAATATAGTCGAGATAATGATCATGGCAGCCTTTGAAAGACAATTTGAGTTGGTTCCCGAGTGATGATCATCCGAATTTCAACAAGCCTTTCTTTGCCCTTTCATAAGGACTCCTACTGCTCTTTCGAATTTCATTCCAAGTCAATAAAAGTCGATTACAAGGAAAGCCTAGGATGGGATAATCAACTCAGGTCAAGGCCCAGTCTCTTGCGTGAAGGGTATTTGGAAGCACTTTCATGAGAATCCCGAGAGGAGCAGCCGAGAACAAGAACGTGGGGCAAAAATTGGTAGCAACAGGGTGGATGGTGGATTTGAACATTTCCTTCTGTTCATCACATGGAGGACACTTAACGAGTTTTCCAAATGTTCCCAGAAAAAATCCCTCTACGGTTCATTTCAACGAGATTTCAATGCTTCGATGCGAGGACGATAGCACATTCCACGACAAGAGCTGTGCAACTGGACCGTGAAAAGAGCTGGTCAATGGGCCGCTAGTCCACAGTGTCACCTAGTATTTATTTCCACTTGTGCTCAGACCGTCTTTTTTAGCTTGTATATTTTCAAAAGTTCGTGAACCATCCATAACTATACCCCCTGGAACGGGCGAATTTAGCTGCTGCATGGGGAGGGTTGTAAGCAACTTCAGTCAGCTCGAACCAATTCGTCAGAGGTCTCAACGAACGTTCATCTGTTTCTGTTCCTTCACTAGGTCACCCTGGAAGAAAATCATGGTCAGCATGTGTTTTGCCAGCAAAAACGAACGACATGTTTGGCGTCTATGGTGGAACAGTCGGCCACGAAACAACACTGATTGCCAGAAAGCTGGGAGATATGAACATGACCACTAACAAATGCTCTGCTGGAGTGGATGAACTGGGCGGCTATGCGGTCCGTCTGACGGGCCTCCCTTCTCCTTCCATATTGGGATAGTGGGGCTCTGTTTGCTAACCATTGGGTACCCCCCTCCTCCACCAATCCGAAGCGCAACAAGAACAGGCTGCTGCCGCGCCAGTTCCCCATATTCAACGAAAAACCTTTAACATGATGACTGATGAAATTTTGACACGTTTTGAAATTTTGATACGTTTTTAGCCTGGAGGCTTTCTCTCAGATAGGGGACTAGTTTAGCGTGAAGGACATTGAACTGTTTGCAACAATTCAACCGCTTCGGGCTATATGGACTCAGTATGAAACTGGTATCATTTCGTTGCGGACTTTTACCCACGGATTTTCGGAAATTCTACTGATCTTGAGAGAAATAGCAAAGAAATTATAGAGGGAATTTCAGCTTCCAGCTCAACTTACTTGCCGATGGTCTGGATTGTGGTGATGAAGCCGCTGAGTTCTTCTCCAAAGCGTTGGAAGAGCAAGGTTATGCTGCTACTTCTGATAGTTCCCTCATCTTTAGTGATCCATTCTTTTATTATTGTACTCGCTTGGTAGCACATAAGTTCTTCCCTTCTGTCTGATAATAATGTTACCAATTTTTCAGATGTGCGACTTCTAATGTACTCCCCTGACTTATTCAGCGAAAGAATTTGTGTAACTCAAGAAGACTGGTGGAACAACAACACTGTACCCAAGAGGAAAGAAAAGGTGCACCCATCATAATCAAAATTGTAACACTAAAATGCACTAAAATGAGGACCCATGATGAGCTGCTTGTGAGAGACTAACCTGAATTGAATCTGTTGTAGCCCAGGAAGAAGGAAATTGGGCACAGCTCGGCTTGGAGGTGGCAGTGAGTGGCACCAACTCAGCTTGTAGGGGCTAAGACAAAAATGGCTCACTCCACCATTTCACAGCTTCGCAGGAGAGGCAAGAGACACACTTTCACATGAGTTCAATAACAGTTCAATTTTTGGTGAGACCTGTTATTGAGCACGAACTAACCGAGGGCCCAGCGGAGGTGCCACCAGGGTACACCATCGTGATGTGTGAAATGGTGGTGTCAGTACGACCCCTCCCCACCTGAACGAGGGTCTCGGTACGACCCCCCCCCTTTCCAACACCTACCCACCAATTTCCCAGTTTTCCAGATTTTCACCCAAAAATTCGCCGTCGAGCGAGGGATATATAGTACACATGCAACAGGAACGAGAAGTCAAAAACCAGAAAAATTTTCTCATCGCGGCAAACTTACCTCAAAACCACATACGACCTCCCCTCTCTCCCAATAACGACCAAATGCGGCTCCTCTCTCCCCAGCGGAAAAGTACGAATCCCCATGTGTTGTGTTTTTCACACAACGATGCTGTACCCTGGGTGCAACGCTCCCCCTCCTCGAACAAGCACAGCGCCTTGCCAACATATCAACGATGAGCTCAAAGCTGCCCTTATTCTTGCGGATGTGCTAAATGTGAGAGCATGTTTGCCACATGCCAGCTGACATGTGGTATGTGATAACAATAAAGGTGTTGTTCACGAGGTATAGGTTCAGCCGAAATCAGCGAAGTCATGTGATATGTACATGTACTCGCTCAGGGAGTGAAAGCACACTATGTGAAGGAACCGGTAACGCAGGACTCAAGTTCTGCTTTAGCTTAAGCAATAAATGGCAAGATAATTGAAAAAGAACAATCTTTGCTGAGTGAACCTGACTAATAATAGAGAGGACTGTGCTCAAATCTTCCCTGTTTGCATGTGCCTAGTAGGCCTTTATGGTGGAATTCACCTGACTCTTTGGTAAGATCGCCCTTCCTTGTGGGCCTTAAAGTGTACCTCATATTTATATGCTACTTATTAGCTCTGTAGTTTTGACTTTTAGGTCTCCTTAGCCAGTTGCAATGAGCACGCCAAACGGCACCTAGCAAAAAAGCGTCTTACCGCAGTTTCACACCCGCCAACTGTACTTAGGCAGCGTTCAGACCTAAGGCGCTTTCAAGCGCAGCAAAACGCGTTGCTGCGCTTCAAAGCGCCTTAAGTCTAAACGCTGCCTTGAAGTCACGGTCAAAGAAAGCGTAAGCGTAGTGGCATAAGTGGTGTTGTTGAAATTTGGAAGAGAAGTTGGTAAGGGACTTGTCTGTGAAGAGAAAAGGAACGTTCGACACACCCTGAATGAACCCCTCTAGCCTCGGGCAATTGTATAAGTACAGGGCAAAAAGACCGCGGGTCCCGCAAGTGACAGTGAAAGATGCATTTCTGCTATTCGTTTGTCAGCATGAAATGTTTCATGCAACTCGTATAAAACAAAAGCCACCACTATGGGTTTCGACACCTCTTCTTTCTTCTTACTTCTACAGATTTCAGAGTGGATTTGAAAACCTGTCACCATTGATGATTACCACTCAAGGGTCGCTGGACGATTTGAACTCGAAGTTGGAGAACGAGGTAAGATTAATAGTTCACAAGTGCTAGCAAAGAAGCAACATCGAAAGTGTCGCGGTAGCGACGCCTTCGGCTCCTCCCCCCGGCTCCGGCGCTAGGCACTCGGTCAGATCGCATTGTTGGTAGACGGTTGAAACCGTCATTCGGAGATAAAGATTGCTGTTTGCGAGACAGCACATTTTGGTGCATCGGCCGCACGGATTAAACGTGCTGCCCGCTTTCTGTTTCCTGCATTACGCCGAAAGCAAAAACCCAGGCTAGTAGCCAGGCATAGCCCGCTACGTTCGGTTCTCAGAAAAAAATCTGAGGGCACCAGAAAAGTAAAAGTGCATTATTTTTATTTTATTATTTTATTTATTTTTCCGCACGTCGAGTCTTCGACGAGGAACGGTGAAATTGAAATCACAGCTTGATACATTCCGTGGCTTTACAAATGAGCCCATTTATCCTCAAGAGCTAGCGAAAAAATTGCATACTGCGCGAAAACAGTAGTTTCGCTCGAGAACGCGATTTCTCTCATCCAAGAAGCGAAAAATGAACTCGTCGATATTCTTGTCAATATTGAACAGGATTATGCTGAGCTTAAAAAGCCAGAAAAAAGCGGTTTTCTTGAGGAATTTCAGCAGGCTGCCAAGGAGATAATGTATGAGAATGCCCTAACAGAATGTGATGCTATGCTATGCGCGTTGAGGACTCGTCTAGCGGAAATCAAATACGAGCATGATCTTGCGGAAAAAGTATGTATGAGGACATAGGAAAAAGTCGAGTGAAATCGATCAGAGCCACTTAATCGATCAAGAATTCCAAGAGCTGACGCAT